TTATGATATTACATAGTTCAAAAATGTAATACAATAGTTGGTTTTTCTTTTATCTTTTATATGTAATATACAAATATTTTTGACATATATATCAACAAGCAATAAAAAATATATTAGATAACCTCATTTCAACGAGGTTAAGATTCTTGTATCTGTTAGAGTATCAATAATTGCTTTGATCCACTAGAACAAGCGTAACTGTCTCATGATCCTATTCAACTTCAATAATATTTTACCTTAGTGATGTTTTATTTTTTTGTTTGTTATCAATCTAATATTGTTTAAATTTGTACAGATTGGTTTCAGATACGGATCATTAGTAGAAGACTACTACACAGGGTTTATGCTCCATTGTGAAGGATGGAGATCAGTTTTTTGCAGTCCCAAAAGAGCTGCATTTTATGGAATTTCTCCTAAATCCTTAGTTGATGTAGTGGGCCAACAAAAGCGATGGTCCATTGGGCTTCTTGAAGTGGCTTTATGTAAGTATAGCCCAATTAGTTACGGTTTCAAATCATTGGGCTTATTCATGAGTTTAGGCTATTGCTACTATGCGTTTTGGCCGTTATGTTCAATTCCTCTCACGGTCTATGGACTTTTACCTCAACTTGCCATTCTCTTTGAAGTTAGCATCTTCCCCAAGGCATCAGATCCATGGTTTTGGCTCTACATCTTCTTGTTCTTCGGTTCGTATACGCAAGATTTATTCGATTTTTCATTGGAAGGAAGCACTTATAGGAAATGGTGGAACGATCAAAGAATGTGGATGATAAGAGGATTATCTTCATTCCTCTTTGGGTTATTAGAGTTCACACTCAAAACCCTAAACCTCTCTACGTACGGATTCAACGTCACTAGTAAAGCCAACGATGATGACAAACAGAGGAAGAGGTACGAGCAAGAGATTTTTGAATTCGGGCCCTCTTCGTCCATGTTCTTGCCCATGGCTACGGTGGCGATCATGAATCTCCTTGCTTTTGTTTGGGGGATTTATGGTATTTTCACTAGGGAAGAAGGACCCATTATTGAGCTCATGTTAGCGAGCTTCGCGGTAGTGAATTGCTTACCGATCTATGAGGCTATGGTGTTGAGGAAAGACAACGGAAAATTACCAAAAAAGGTAAGTTTCTTAGCTGGGATCCTCACATTTGTTCTCATTGTGTTAGGTTACTTTTTATTCAAGTAATTTCACCCATTAGGGTTCATACACAACATTTCTACATCTGGCTCAAGCAGAAGCAAGAGAGAATATCGTGGACGGAATCTATGTAACCAGT